CAGTGCTCTCTCACGCGAGAGCCAGTGCAATCACTCAATTGAGGGGGGAACCGGAGGGATCTCGATAGCTTTATTCGTGGGTTGAGCGGGATAGCCCTGGCTTTTGGTGGGTAGGCGTTGAGAGATGTTGAGAGTGTCTGCTGCCAAGAAAAGGGGAGCACTGTTCGTTGGCGTGTTGTCGTAGGGCGAGGTCATTGCTTGGGGACTTGGGAATGCTGGGGAACAGGGTTAACTGTGCAAATGCTGTGTACACTGTCAATCCTGGTCTCTTAATCTTCTCAGACTCCTCCAAACCTCGAGCCCGAAGTCCGGCAGAAAAACCCCCCCACCACCGAAACTGCGTGCAGGCCGAGACTCTGCAAGCTTTCCTGCCAAGGCCCCCAGATGCAGATTTCCCACCTCCCATGCCGGAGTCTGCGATACCGTCGCCGGAAGCTTACTGTGCAGCTTCATGGCTAGGTATATGAATGCTTCATGTAGAAAGTTTTTTTGTGCAGGCAGACAGAGATGTTACAGCCCAACTAAGCTCCTTCCCTCCCCTGGCCCTCGGAGAATATTGCACTGCAGAGGTCGGTGGCGGGGTCGCCTTCTGCAGCGGCCTCAGCAGCATGCGACATGGGCAGCTTCAAAACAATTCGGGCAGTTTTACATGCACTCTTTGTTATCTGGGTGCCGTGCGTGGCTTTTAAAGGCTTGTGGTTGGGCAATCGATGGAGCGTGACTGGGAGGGAGACTTGTCGAACATCTGCATCCATGGAGACATCGGGATTTCGGGTTGAGCTCAGGAGATGCCGGTACCCTTGGACGACGAGGCGCAGATGGTCGGCTCAGAATCCAGCTTCAGAGCGTCTTGAACCCCGAATGCCGAAGCTCCAAGAGCCCTTCTAGTCTCAGAGCCTGGATCCTACAACCCTAAACTCCGAACCCCAAGCCATCAATCTCTGGCAGATGGCCAACTGCCCGGCCTGCGGCAACGTGTACGCGGAGGACTCGATCTTCTGCCGGAAGTGCGGCCACAAGCGCGGCGAGGTGAGGGTGCAGACTTGTAGGGGAATCGGCGGCGACATTCCCTGAACTACAATGAGGAATAACATCGGACAGTGAAGAGTCCATTACTTACATGGCATGCTGAACTGAAGAGGCCCAAACCATGAACAACGAAGGCAACATTTTTTTGACCTGCCCTCCTGGCAGGGTTGTAGTGTTGGCCCTGTGTCCCGGTCGTATGAGTGGTCACTGCATAGGCCTCAGTATGCCTGGTGAGGGAACCGCGAAGCCAACCCACCAACTCCCAACCACCCGCCCTGTCTTGAGGAAGCATGCCCAGCAACCTCTGAACCTCCCAGAACCTGAGCCCAAGCTTCAAAGCTTCAGCGCCGAACGCGGCCAACCGCAGGCAGCACAGGGAACGAAGCCGGGATCACAGCTGTACGTTGCTCTCGGGCTTGGAGTGGGGAGTAAGGTTTGGCACTTGCTTTCGTGATGTTGAACGAATTGAGGGCTGAAGCGGCCCAGTGCTTCATTTCTAGCATCTCCGAACCCCGAGATCTACAGCGATAGGTCCTGAGGGTTGGAGGTGGTTGGGATGGCTAGAAGTTGCTCTTTCTTGCCATTGGTCAGCAGGAAAGAATCAGCCAGGCTTGCCAGACCCCGCATCGAATGCAGATCCACTAGTACTGTAAAACTGAGAGCGTGACGTTTCTGATTTTAAAGCTTGCAGTTGTTCTGCTCTAATCCCGAAATCCAAATTCCTGAGTATTCTGCGCCCAGTTCCAATCCGGGCTCAGGATGTTGGGTTTCGATATAGGGTTTGGGGTTTAGAGTTTAGGCTTTTGGGTTTGAGATCATTCTGGTTTCTGCGAGTTTTCAACACACGTTGGTCTCTTCAGACGTGCCTGTTAATCTCACGGACATAACTGCCTGAGCTCAGACGGTTACCTTCTTATGCTCTCCAAACACAAAACCCCAAGAGCAACACCCCAGCTCTCGAACTGTGGACCAGGCAGAGGAAGCGCATCACGAGGTCCTCGCCCACCGCCTCGCCAGCAAGTATTCAATGTTCTCCCCAAGAAATGAGCTGCCGTGTGGCATAGTCATGGTCGGGATTTGGGTTGGCGATAGGGGTTTGTCTCGAGCTTTTCCGGGGGATTGGGGTTGGCGATCTTGCATAGGGGCCTTGAGGGTTAGAGGGCTTTCTCTTTAGTTACACGTGCCTCTCGGCGGCTCGCTTGCATGGCAGCCACTCTGAGATGGTTAAGGAAGAACGCAGTGAAAGTAGCCACAGACTCAAATAGTGAATTTGACATTCTGAATTCAACTGAACAGGCCGGTTCTTGTCAAGATAGCAGCAGAATAAGATTGCATAGAGCAACAATCACGAGTTGTTGTCTGGAGGGTGGAAAGGGGAGGTTGAACCTGGATCTCAAGAGGTGGTGAGATCAAAGGGTTTGTCGCCGTCACTGTGGCTGCTGAGGTTTCCCCGAGGAAATCTGCATGTGCACAAGTGCACACATAGATGTTGCGTTCAGAGTTTGTGCCCAGTGGCCAGATGCTTTGCTACTCGAACGTAACGGGATTAGGGAGTAGGTGCTTGCCAAAGTTGTTGGAGTCCAGCTGATAAGAACCTGCAGCCCTGCGGCGGGGCTGTCGTCAGCAGTGTGACCGAAGGCCACAAACCCAAGATCTCTAAAAACCATTTCTGTCCGTGTAGGTTGTGGTTAACAACCAGTCGTTTGGGTGTCTGCTGCGAACCCCGAAGCCCTTAAAGACCTTCAAGCCTGGAAGCACCGCCAGGAAGTGGCCGTGCTGGTCCCAACAGAGAGGCCTTCCCCAACCTCTCGCGACATCGCACATGCACCGGAGGCAGGGAAGGGCTGGAGGGGCGGCTCGGCACCACCACGTACGTACGGGTATACCCCTAAATCCCAAATCCCAAGTCGAAGCCCCGAGGCCTGGCAAGACCCAGCTTCCTTCAAGCCTGCCCCCCACCGGATCCTACCAGGTGCCCGTGCAAGGCCTGGGGCACGCAACGGCCTCAATCCTTGTCAGGTTGAAGGATCAGCTGGTGGCAGGCTTCTGCTAGTTCGGACGGTTTGGGGATTTCAGGGCTTCCAGGGCTTCCAGGGCTTTGGGCTACTTCTCGTGGTCCTTGTGTTGGGAGCTTGGTGGTCTTGCTTTCGAAAGGAGGTGTCTTGAGATTTCCGAAAGCAGCTTGGGGCTTGGGGTTCAGGACGGGGGTCCAGCAGCTTCAGGAGTTTTCGTCGGCAGTGGGCATGTCCTCCTCGGTTCGGACCTCGGCTGGGGACACCTTGACTTCACTGCGGGAGGTCGAGGACTTTAGGGTCAACTTGGGGCGCGTCATGAACCTTCAAGACGAACGGAACACGGAGGGCGCTTGGGGCATGCGCGAAAGCAGTTACCGCGCACTTTCCTCTTCTTCCTCACCCCTCCTCGGGTATTACTGCTACTCAGCGAGGATCGGCATGAATCGTCGTAGTGGTGGCACCGCCTTCGCCCCCTCGACATGAGATGGAGCCCATCAGATCCTACAACTACTCGCAGCCAGGTGGCTAGCTTTGTCCTGATGTGGACACGCTTGTCTTACGAAGCCCAGATTTTCACGACATAAGTGTAGTTCGACGACTGCTTGTTGGAACGGCTGTTGCCACAACAGTCGCAGGCTGCAAGTAGTTCCATTGCATTCAGTAGAAAGGGCTGGGTCAAGCAGAAACAAGTCTGCAACACTAGAGCATGCGGTGCAGACCCCGGTTTCTCGTTTCTAGTCATGAAGGAAGGCCTGCCTAAACAAGGCAGCTGTAAGCTCCGTCAGGCTGGGACCTTTTTTTTCTAGTAAGCTGTCAGTAGTTCCATTCCATTGTCTTAACAGTAGCAAAGACTGAGGCTAGTTACTAGTTTACAAGGCTTGCAAGAAACAATGCAGGTGTGAACTCCTTCAGCTTGAGAATAGAGAGGCCGCCACGCAGTCGCCCAGCGAGTTGCCGGTGCCCACAGAGCGACCGTCACCGACAGAGCCACCGGCAGGGGGCTGAATCTTCGAGTGCGTTGGCTGGGGATGGAGGGCTTATCGGGCTTTGATCTTTGGCGTGTTTGTAGGGAGTGCTTTTCCACTGAAGGTCTTTAAGGGTTTCGGGCTGGAGGGATTCCAGAGCCTGACTCTGTCACACGGCGGCAAGAGACTTGAGACAATCATAGCATGCCTACATTATGTAGCGCCAAAGGCACTTGGAAGGAACAAGTTTCAAAGATTTAAAAGTGAGTTGCCTTACATGTCGGGGCTTCCTCAAGGCCCCCCCCCCTCCCTCCAAAGAAGAAAACATGAACATGAATTCAATACTGCGAACATTCCAGCCTAAACGAATGACGGGCGCTGGCGAAATCATCTGGATTTGAGGTTCCGCGGGTTACCATGGGCATTGGCATGATTCTGTGCGGGGTTCTCTGTTCCAAGCATTGTTCTTAAACTTGAACATGCAAGAGAGAAACACATCATGATGACATCCCAAAACAAAAGCCGTACGCTTCAGGCTGACAGTCTGCCAAAGTTTCTCCGCCTTCTCCCAGGTGTGGCGCCCGACGCCCAAACTCCCAGCGGTTGCGGCCTGGACCTCGGAGCGTTTACAAGGTCGAGGGTGACAAGCGCGTGGAATAGTCCATAGGGCTTGGCTGCAACTAGTACCATCGAATGAACTGTCGTTAAGGCTCCAAAGACACTTTCCCCGCTAGGGCTTGAAGGGTCCTAAACCCTAGACGAAACTCTGAACGTGACCCCAAAATTCCAAAGCCCGAAGCCTGCCGGCCCTGCGGCCCATACCCTAAACATCTCCCATGGCGAGAGCGTGAACTGGTCGAATCCGCGCGCAGGAACCCATTGAACAAAAAATGCTGCACCTGCATCATGCGTGTCGCGAGTTTCGGCCCTTCATTATCATGAACCCTTACCACAGAATGCAGAGACGCACGTCTCCTCATCCTCTGAACAGGCTGTGGAGTCCGGAATGCTCGGTTCCTCGGTAGCTTGGCTGAGACTTGGGGCTCATCGAGCTGGTCAAAAGGTCTGTAGAGATTCGGAGTTCAGGAAATCTTGCGAGCCGTACTGCGATGAGGGGACAGAGGCTTAGAAAGCATTGTCGAAGTGTGGCCAAAGCTCTTAAGCCACGAGGTCCATAAGCGTCGGGAATATACGCTTTCGTGCTATTCTATTCTTTCGTGCTGATACTTTCTGGCAACTCAAATTCTCATAAGATACATCCGAGCTGCGAACCTTCATCCCGCCTCAATTCTCTGGGTTATGTCAGAAGTTCGCCACAGCCCCAACTTAGATCTGGTCGGGTCTTCGAAAGCTGGCCGCTAGCCTGATGCAGAGAACACGGTGCGAGTGCGAGCGGGCCGGCGGGCGGGTGGGGTGGGGTGAGCGGGGGCGGACGGGCAGATGAGCGGGCGGGAGGGCGGTTGGGTGGTTGGGTGGTTGGTTGGGTGGTGTGGGTGGTTGGGTGGTTGGTTGGGTGGGTGGGTGGCTGGCTGGCTGTGTGGGAGGCTCTCTCTCTCTCTCTCTCTCTCTCTCTCTCTCTCTCTCTCTCTCTCTATCTGTTTGCAGTGTGTGTGTGTGGGTGTGTGAGTGCCTGTGAGTGAGGGGTATCTGGTCACTCTTTGTCTTTGGTGTTTTTCTTTGCTTTTGTTCTTCTTCCGTTAGACGTTAGGGCTGTATTTGCGAGTTTGTTTATTTTCTGTGAGTGTGTCCCATGTCTGACCCATTTGGCAATCGTCCTGTTGTTGAGGTGATAGCCTAAGAAAAGAAAGTGGTAAGTCGCAACAGGGCATCATGACAGAACTTGTGCCGTGCTGTTTCAGCTTTACTTTCCGGGCCGCTTTCCAATCTGAATCGGCTGCAACTGAGCCATGTTACATCCATTCTAACCTACAAGTATACTCGTTCTTGCGCATCCGTTCACCCAAACCTAGCGCCTTGGCCCCGGAAGCCGTGCAAGAGCGCAAGTTCTACCTGCCTACACCAAGCCCTGAAAGCCCAAGTCGCCGATGTTGACCTTCAAGCCGAGATCCGCAATTGTAGCCGGGAACCACCCGTCGTTCTCCAACTCTAACGGCAAAAGGCCCTGGACAGTTCGGCTCTAGCATCAGGCCTGCGCTCGGAGTTTAAGGGCATGCGGCTTGGGGCTTCTGGAGGCTTTGGCGGCTTCAGCTTTCCGGTTGCAGAGATCTCCATTTCTGGTGCCAACACATGCAAACGTGGAGAGCACCAAGTTCTGCCCCGCTTAATGCCGTAGCGCTGTGGTGAAGGTCAGCAGCGCTCCCCAACGGAGATGCCAGTGCCGACGGACGTGCCGTCACCGACCACGCCCTGCGAGGATGAAGGCAACATTAGAAGGGAATCCTTACCACCAGAATCCGATCAATTTCCATAAGCTGTTGAAGTTTCAGTCCAGACTTGTCGGCTTTAACCTGCGTCCCCCAAATCTTCATGACCCGCACCTGTGCACGAGGTGAGACTGTAACGGCACCCCCGGTCGCCACAGTGGCGACCTCGGCCATCCTGCCCTTGGGGTTTAGGGGGTGCAGGGATGATGCTCTTCCAGTGTGTGCTGAAGATGCGGATTGTGACAGCAGGGGGCATCCGAGTCTCTTTTGGGGCCATGGAGGGCCCAGATTTCATGCTTTAACATTCAAGAAAAGCCATCGTTTAGCTGGCGAAGACATGGAGACGTGACAGCACGGATTTACGAGCAAAGAGGGTCCACGGCGCCAAGTAAGCTCAGCGGCGCCAAAGTGGCGTCAGTGGCATCAACAGCATCAAAGCCCGCCTAAGTTCTTAGCAAGATAGCAAGGCATTCTGGCAACACGTAGAAGCACGAGTGACTGCGCTGGGAGCCCTTCGGCCCAATGCTCGGAAGTCCCATGAAAGAAGCACCAACACGACATCGCCTTTGAGTACTTCTAAAATGCCGCCAAGTCCGTGATAGTATTGAGGCTTATGCATGTTGATTTTCTGAAGTGCCAACATGTAAAACATCTGTGGCGGCAAGCCTCGTGCAATCGGGCACATCGTGTCTCTTCCAGGCGAAGACCAGCAGCATCGAGAAGACCCTGACACACTCCCGGCCTGCCACGTCAGTAGTCCAGCACGGGACCCAGGCGTTCATGCTGTCTGCAGGCCTCCCGAACACCGTCCTGAGAATGCTAAGACCCCAACCAAGCTGTTAGCTGAAATAGTCCCTAGGAGTGTTGGGCCCAGCTCGCCTCCTTGAGGTCCTGGTTGGCCTTACGTGATGAGTAAATCAGTTGCAGCCGGAACATGTTTGGGCGCTACCTCTATCGTACTGTAGAGATGGACTTGTGCTGTTCTCTTTGGTGTTGGTGGGGTTACGCATCTGCTCTTTGACGACTGAGTCGTGAAAAGCTGAACCCATCTGAATTCAAACCGGCACCGCTATCGACGACCACACAGCCACCCAACCACGCAACTGCATAGCCACACGACCACGCGACCACACAACCACGCGACCACACAACACCAACGAGCAATCAAGTATCACACGCAAAGCCCCAAGCTTCATCTCCGTCAGGTCTTCGCCAGTGGACGTGCCCGTGCCGACCGCCAGGAGAGCGCTGATATTTGGGAAGAGAGATTCCTGGGGTCTGGTGTGAATTGCGGGGCGGTCCATGCCAACCGCAGAAGTTCTTCAAACCCTGCTATCCTAAGCAAAGAGTTCGCTTGGGGCAGACAAACTGGAGAGCCCAGCGTCCTGATCGCAAGCTCGTGCTTGTCTGGTCTTAGTGGTCGGTGCAAGCTGGACTCGGTTTTGACAATGCTTCACACGTCTGGCGAGCGTGTGGCTTTTGCCAAAGCCCGAGCGCTCGCTTCACAGGCCGTCTCCAACCTCCATGAATGAGGGTGAAGATGAGGAGGAGGAGGAGGTCGGTCCGGCCTTGAGTTCTCAGGGCTTTGCCACAGGGCTTGGAAGAGTTTGAAGCCTTTGACCACAGGCGTCTGAGGTGTAAGCGTGGCAGTGTTGCTCCCAGTCAAGGCCAGAGCCGTAAACAGCGCAAGACCCCGGGCCCTGAAGCGCCAGGCAGGTCCACCCTCTGCCCATCTCGGCCCTAAGAAAAAGGGGCTTAGGGTTTAGGGTTTAGGGTTTAGGGGCTTGAGCAGGCCATCGTCGGGCCGCTGCCGGATGCAGCGATGAAGCCGCCAGGACCACACGGGGGGAAGTTGGGGAAGGGCTTTGTCTCCTCAGACTCAAAGAGTCGGGATATAAACTTCGGAGCCAAGGATTATAGTAGAGGTGCCATTTAGGCAAATTGCCAGGGCTAAACCCCAAACCCGCACCTCGCGTAGGGAGACCAGCATGCGACCCGAGTTGAGGTCGAGATCTGGAGTGTTTTTGAACTGCGTCGTTGTGAAGCCGTTTAAAAAGATACTCTGTCCCGAGAGAGGCTCCGCCATCTCCGCCTAAATCTAGTCCGACAAGGCCCCGAAAGCAATCTCCCTCAAAGCAAGCACTGCGTGCCAGAACCTGGCGCCTTTGGCATCGCGCGCCTGCCACCGCTTCTTCGGAGTTTCAGGGAGTTCAGCAGTATTCAACGGCACTTCAAGGGGGAGGCGGAGTGGGGTAGGGTGGCACAGGGGAGGGGGGGGGGGGGGGGGGGGGGAGGGGGGGGCAGGGGGGGGGAGGGGGGGGTGTGGGGTGGGGGTAGAGGGCAGGGTAGAGGGGGCTGGGGGTAGGGCAAGACAAGTCATTTTTTATGAAAAGAGGGAGGGTGGAACAGGGGCGACGAGTGCAAGAACGGCTGGCAAAATCTGCTCGGAAGAAAAGACTGCACAAATTGGTTGGAAGAGTCGATTTTAGAAGAAGAAGACATGCTAATAGGGGCCCGAGAAACCTACAGAAACATGAGGATCCTACAAACAGGGTTTTCGGAATCCCCACTATAGGGCCCTGATACCCAAATAGCACGATCCTTATGTTTATGTGGGTTTTTGGGCCCCTAGTTAAGGGGATTTCGCAAACAGGCAAAGCCTGGTGGAAGTGAGCGGGCCCCTGAGAAAGAAACACTGTAAATGTCGCATGTGCATATGGAAGAGGGATTTCGCTGCTGCCAAAGTCTTGAAAAATCCATGGACTTCCTGGCCCCATAGGGGAGGGTCCTGAACTAACGCTTGAAAATGCAGGCCCCGGGGACCTGCATGTTGAATTTCAAGTTTCCGGACCCAGGCGAGAGCCCCAAATAAGAAACATATCGAATCTTAAAGTGCCAGGTCTTGGGGCTGGGGGCGAAGGGGACTTAACTTCTACACAACTTCTGAAAATTCTAGGTCCCTGAGGGTGGAACCTCAAGGACCCTATGTCCCAAAGGGAAGGGCGGGACCTGGAATTTTGAAAGTTTTGTTTGTTAAGAAGCTATAGCTCCCCAGGGGACTCTCAACCCGGTTCTTGCCTTTGTGGCCACCAAACTTGAGGTATCCCAACCAGGTTCTCTCCTTAGCGGCCACCAAATTTGAGGTATCCTAACCGGGTTCTTGCTCTAGTGGCCACCAAACTTGAGAGATCTCAACCGGGTTCTTGCTTGGCCACGCCACCCAACCGAGGTATCCCAACCGGATTCTTTCCTTACCTAGTACCAGGGCACGTCGTTTTGGAACTCGGGAAAGTGTCATTCGGGAACGTGCCGAAAAGACGCCGCCTGTGTTCTAAGTTGACGTCCGTGTCCAAAATGATGCTGCTCGTGTTCCAGACTAATTCTTCTTCGCTCCAAAGTGATGCTGTCGCGCTTGCGTTCCATATTGAATTCTTTCCATAGAGCCAGTCGCATCGACGGTGATGCCCACACGACTTCGTGATTTCTTTGATACGTAAGTCTCGGATGTCGGGCAGGGAGCACAGCACAAAGAGGAGTGTACATATGTATCAGACAGACTCATAGGGCTGCGACCGCGGGCGTGCGCGAATGAATCTTAAAGCCCTGAACACTGAGGCGATTGGCCCAAGGCGAGAACCATTGTCGGAGTGAGGGTTGCCTGCGTAGCACCATGCCCCTTACCATTCAGGTGAGCCTGCTAAGTGGCAGGACAGCTTCACTCGAAGCAGAAGAGGAGGAGTGGGTAGGCTCGTTCAACAACAGGGCACAGAAGACTCTGGAAGTTGGCAGGGGCCGACTCGTGGACTCTTCTGCAAGCATTCTGAACTCAGCAGCCACTCTTGGGGAGTCTAGGTTGCGGAGCGGTGATGTGCTCACCTTGCAGATGAGCAGCATTGTTCACACCAACATTGCTGCTTTTGCTGCGATCCTTGGCACCCGGCCGGGTGGGGGGGGGGCTGTCAGACGGCAGCTGCAGCATGTGCGACAGATCCAAGCATCTGGGGTGGGCGTTGCTGCTATACTGGGCGATGGGTCTGTTGTGACCTGTGGCCCTGCGGACTGTCGTGGTGTGCAACATCAGCTGATGGACGTGAAGCAGATCCAAGCATCTGAGGAAGCATTTGCTGCCATTCTGGGCGACGGGTCTGTGGTCACGTGGGGTTCCACTGACCATGGTGGAGACAGCAGTGCTGTGCAAGACCAGTTGAAGGACGTGCGGCAGATCCAAGCCCACAACACAGCTTTTGCTGCCATTCTCGGTGATGGGTCTGTTGTGACCTGGGGTGATGCTGACAATGGTGGTGACAGCAGTGCTGTCCAAAATGAGCTCAAGGGCGTGCAGCAGATCCAAGCTACCATGTCGGCTTTTGCTGCCATTCTGCGCGATGGGTCCGTTGTGACCTGGGGCAATGCAGCCCGTGGTGGTGACAGCAGTGTCGTCCAGCATCAGCTTAAAGACGTGCGGCAGATCCAAGCAAGTTTGGTGTCGTTTGCTGCCATTCGGGGCGATGGGTCTGTTGTGACCTGGGGCCGTTGTTTCAGCGGCGGCGACAGCAGTGACGCACAACATCGGCTGCAGGACGTGCAGCAGATCCAAGCTACCGACTTCGCATTTGCAGCCGTTCTGGGCGATGGGTCCGTCGTGACCTGGGGTGATGAAGGCAGCGGTGGCGACTGCAGAGATGTGGAAGACCAGCTCAAGGACGTGCGTCAGATCCAAGCTACCAGCGATGCTTTTGCTGCCATTCTGGGCGATGGGTCTGTTGTGACCTGGGGCGATGATGGCCGTGGTGGTAATAGCAGGGCCGTCCAAGGTCAGCTTAAGGACGTGCAGCAGATCCAAGCATCTCCGTTTGCCTTTGCTGCCGTTTTGGGCAATGGCACTGTTGTGACCTGGGGAGACAGCGACAGCAGTCTTGTCCAAGATGAGCTGCAGGGTGTGCAGCAGATCCAAGCCAACGGCTCGGATTTTGCTGCAATTCGTGTCGATGGTTCTCTTGTGACCTGGGGCCAGAAGCAGCGCTGACGACTTTGTAGGAACAGAAGCACAGCGTTTCTGCAGCGTCAGCACCCTTTGCCACAATCTCTAGCTTGAGGCAGCGACCGTTTGCAAGCATTTCTTTTGCAGGCTGCAGACAAACCGCCAGGTAATATCGTTTGCAGAGACCTTGTCCTGACATTCCTACTATGACATTTACCCACTTTGAAACTGGTGTCTAAGCCCTGTGTCAATACCCAGCTTTCAACATTCAAGCGGCTTCTGCCTCGCGAAAGACTAGCAGAGTGGCATATGTCGTCATGGACATTGGACTCGCGCGGGTTCATTTGTGAATCCTGCTGTAGGCATCCATTGAGGTCCTGGCTGTCGACAATCCATGAAGTGCACATTTTTTCCAATAACGGCATCGAAATGCTTTCGGTAGGAACGCGCTTCCCAGGACCTCATTCTTTTCTTTTCAGCTTGGGTATGTCAGGTGCCCGGAAGCTCCAGCCTCCGGGGGAAGTTCGAAAGCCATTTCCTGTGCCCTGATATCTTCAGCTCAACACCAGACACGAAGATTTGCAACGTCGTCCTGCAGAATGAGTGCAGGCCACAGACGCCCAAGGCCGCAAGCCGCCCGGAACCCTATGGAACATCCAACCTAAAAGCCTATAACCGGTCGAGCTGCTTCCCTGGTCGTGTCCTCTGAGAGTTTAAGATGAGGGCGTGGCCGGTGCACTGGTCCACCAGTTGCAGCAAAGGCACAGAATCAATCCAGGCATCCTGCGAACATTATCTAGGGTAGGTTTTGAAGGGTTGTTGAACTTGAGCATGTGTCAGTCGCTGGTGACTCGAGGCTTGCATGTGATCCTCTTCCGATGATCGGGGTGTGAGAGAGCTGCAACCCTGTGGATTCTGCTCCACAGCTATCATGCTGACTGTCGCTCCGAAGCGGCTAGCCGTAATGCTTCATGCAATGTCATGGTGGCCCATATTGCATACACCCTCAGTTTGTGTTGCTTGTGGTCTGAGTTAAAACGCACGGACCCTTGCGGCAGCAGGATGTTCGAATTCTTTCAACCGCTTGCGGCTTCATTGGCGCAGCAGCAACATCCTCCGGAAAACAGAAATCTTTGTCTGGGGCTTCGTGCCCCAAATTCTTCGCATGGCAGGGCGTATTCGAAGCCTGTGGGATCGACCCCTGGGGCCTTGACACGAACAAGGGGACTTGAGCGAGAATGGAGGAGTTTAGCTATATAGGGATTATGTAGGGATGGCAGACCAGTGCTTATTGCTTATAGGTTCGTGTATGATGTTCGCTGGTCAGGGCCCCAAACGGCACAGGAAGGGAGCTGTTCTCATGGAATGCTTCGGTGATGCGTCAGATGCCGTGGCTCATGGCAGAAAACAAGTTGCAGCACCTCACAGGGTTACTCAGGGGTTGAAACCAAGTGTCGATCTTCCGAAATCGGCTGTGTCGTGGGGTTCTGGTACACCTTAGGTCCTAGATTAGTGGCGCTAGCTGTGCGATGAAAAGAGTGAGGGGTGGAACAGGGGCGACGAGTACGGGAGAAACCCGACCAGGGTGGCAAGACAAAGCCAATTGGTAGCGCAGCCTTCTTACATATGGGGAGCTAGATCAGGGCTCGAGTCAGAGCTTGGGGAAGGGAGCTTGGGGCTTTTCCAACGCGCTGCACTTGAGCTCCCTCTGCATATGCCCGATTCTGATGAGGAGAACATCGGGCCGGGGCTTTGAGAGGCCCCTCTGTTAGGTAAAAAACCCGCATGACGTCTTCTTTCGGGTCTTGGCAGCTCTACCAACCGCCAACAACTTGTTGAAAAAAGCGGGCTCCACCGACCCTGAGCTTCCGAACAGTCAATGTGAGCAGCTGAAAGGGGCCATTCGATAGCAGCGTGAGATGGAGAAGGGCCGTGCGCGCGCCAGGCATTGGGAGCAGGCGATGCTGAGGCCGAGCCTAGAGCTCTGCCGCCTTGTCATCCGATGACCGCGCGCAAGCCCCCGACTTCGCTCAAGCAACTTTGCGGGGGGAGGGGGGGGGGGTTTGAGGAGTGTAGGTAGGAAGGGACACCAGCCAAACAACCACCACAGTTACACCACTTCCCAACACCTCAGACATCCAGTCAAACCTACTCAAGGTAATGTATAGATTGCCGGGCAGAAGGCCTCTCAAAGAAGGCGAAAAACTCATAAGGGAAAGGTTTCGGGCTTGCGGGGAGTAAATCATGGGAGACTACACTACCCCCCCCACCCTAGCAGCCTTATTTGGGCTTGTTTTGGGTTTTGGGGTTTGCGGGTGTTCGGGTGGGGTAGTCTGGGATCCACCATGTATGACAGTATTGAAGGCTCAACGTCACGGGATTTTAGCTTAGTTTGCTCTCTTTGACCCCTCCAACGGTTCAACTCTTCTTTCTGGGGCGGGACGGCGCGCACAAGGGATTTGTGCTTGCTTGAAGACTCTTTAAAAGCCGAAGTGCAGGTGCCAGCGCCGAAGGAGTCTGCGCTGGCAGACAGTGCCTGGCATATGCCCGAGTTGCGGGTTTATTGAAGCAGCCCCATGTGCCTGTGAACTTCACGGGCTGTGGTTTCAAGAGCCCCGAGGTTGGGAGTTCAGGGGCATAGGGCTCGGGGGTTCTCTGCACACATTCTTGGGGCGCAGGGGTTTGGGCCTTGAAAAGGATCTCGAAGGCTTGCAGGCAGAGGAGGTGAAAGCAGGGATTCTGCAGCAAGGGGCGAGTCATCTCCTTGTCGCAACTTGGTGTGTGCAGTGTAGGTTTCCAGCAAGCACGTGTCCAAACCACCGAGGTGCAGATTGGACTTTTCGCACCCTAGGCTTTCCAAAAAGAGGCTCAGTAGCAGCAGTCAAAGTACAACCACCAAAGTGCAGCTACCCAAACCTTGAGCGTTTGTCGACGAAGTCAGTTTGCGAGTTCGAGCTCCAGAACCCCATCCCGTTAACTCTTTGCCCACACCCTGGGCCATCTAGATCCGAACCTTGAGGTCAGAGTCCGCGCCTGAACGAACACCGACGGAGCTGCCCGAGGTGCACGGGGGCGGTGGGTCCCAAGCGGTCGAAGCACTTTGTTCAGGGGCCCATGCCTGCAGGACATGCCCGTGCCGACGGACGTGCCTTCGCCAACCTCCTTGCGTTCCGAGGACGAGGCGTGCGTTTTGGGCTTGGGGATGTGGTTGATTGCGCTTCTGCCCTTACAGATCTCAAAGGCTGGTTGGGCTCATTGCCGACAGCAGGCTGTTCAACACTGTGCGGCACGGCTTTCAGCTCTGGATTGGGTTTGCTCGCACGCTGCCCTACGTTCGAACTCCTTGCAATTGGGGGGACACTGTTCCTCAGAGGCCGCTCTCCACGCCCCCCGCATCCCAAAAACCCTTCGGGTTGTGAGAGAGCGCGAGAGGCAGCGCATCACCGAACTGCCTCCGAACCCCCCAGCAGGCGGACACCATCGTCGAGCAGGTCGGCACCTTGCCGAGGCCTTAGACGCTGAACTTTGGATCGGCCCAACCGATTGCACAAAGCCACACAGCCCTCACAAGATGCAGTTGGGATCTGTGTCGGGACTTCAGATTCTGCATTTGGATTTTGTGTGTTCCGGTGTGCCCCCGGCATGGTGAAATCTGTGGGTCTAGTTTCAGGGCGTGGGAACGCACTGTAGGCTGGTTGCGGCGTGCCGTTCGGCTTGCCAGATGCATGGTCCAGCTCATTATGCCCTTTCAGTTCTTGGACCTGATTGTATGAGGATGCTTGTGTTAACGAGGGAACTTACACCCCTCAGACAAGACGTGTTTCAGTTTCGTCGTCGATTTTAGCAGGAGAGTGGATCAGGTCCGCTCGGTAAAATTTTTGAATCTGCTCGAAATGGCTCGTGACCTTGTACGAACTTCCTGGAGGTCCTCGTCATAAAAAAAATGCTGGCTGCAAGCCCCGAACAATGGTGCCTCGAAGCAGTAACCCAAACACCTCCCCCAAGTTGCCGGCATGCTGAGGCCTACGCAGACATTGGTGGCCCCTTCATCCGAGGCACCCGGACGGGCTGGTAGGTGCTGGCTGTCAGGCTGCCGATTCTGGGCTGACGAGTAGACCTCCTCAAGCCTGGCCCAAGCTTGAAAAGAAGGTTGGGTACCTGAGAGGTGGGACTCTAGCGGGGTCACCGTGCTGAAGGGTCCACAAGGGAGAGCGCGCTAGCTGTGAGCACACCAAGTATGTTGCAGGGAGGTTGGCTGCTTGACGCTGCTTGCAGCAAGTCGTAGATGGCAGGGTCGGGCACACTTAGCCACGTTGCAAAGTCCTCCGCCAGACTTCAAGAACCCCACAGAAAGAGGTTCATCATGTGCGCAGGCGCGTGCTGGGGTCGCTGCACATTCGGAGGATGAGACTGCTGAGACGAATGCGAGTAGCCCAGCCTTGTCGCAGTGAAATGTCCCTTCGAGTTTCAAGTTTCAGGGTTTTGGGTCAGCGAGACGTATCAGGTGACTCACAGCCTAGGAGGGGTAACTCACGACTTGGATCTTCCGAGTTTTCGCCTTTCATGGGTTTGGGAGGTGGTTCAACTTGCACGGGCAACAAGGTTCAGGAGACATGGGTGCGGGACGGGATTTGGACCCGAGGTTCCCGGCGTGCCACAGGCTTCGGCAGCGGCCGGATCGAGTGTCTTCATGCAGCGGCCTCAACATCGCCCGACATCGCTGGGGGACATAGGTAGTTACGGCTAGTTAAGGTTTTTTTCGGGGTTCGCAGAAACACAGGGGCATTGAAGTCCTTGGGTGCCCAGGGGTTCAATCGCTTGTTGTCAGCACACTGTTGATTTAGCTTTGACTTCTTGAACCCCAAACCCGAAGCCTAAGTGTTGAAACTGAACACTTATACTTCAGGTCATTGAGGCACTGGGATGGAAGAATCTCCAAGCTGAGGGCGCTAGGATTGTTATGGATGCGACCAGGGCATACCAGTTTGCGACAGGGTGCTTAAGTCGGGGGGTGGAGAACCCCCGAAGCCCGAAAACCCCTAACCAACTCCCACAACTCTAATCCGAATGACCCTTCAAAGAACCCTGAAGTCCTGAAGGTGGACACCTAAGCACCCGCATTGGCTGTCGCGCTGACAGGTCGGATTCTGGCCTATTGCCCTCACCCACGGACATGCCGGCAGGAAGTCCCAGCAATGAGGGCATCAGGACTGGTGTTTCGAGCTGGGTTTGTCTCCAGTCCGGCCAAGTTTTCTTCCCTGTGGGGATTCAAAGTGGAGGTATTTAAGGCATTTGCTTTGCCAGATTGTCTCTGGCTTGCTAATTGTAAACGCTTGCGCGCGCCGCCTCGGCAGCCGGGCCGGCCAGGACAGGAAAGAGGGTTTCGCAAAAAAAGGGGAGGAAGGGCAGCGAGGTCAAAGCGGGGAGGGGGTGGGGGGGGGGGGGGGGGGGGGTGGGGTGGGGGGGGGGGGGGGGGGTGGGGGGGGGGGGGGGGTGGGGGGGTTGGGGGGGTTTTGAGGCACCGACAGGCGGGACCCTCCACGGCATCGGTTTCCTCCAAGCGATTGGGGGGGTCCCACAGGGCAGGGGGGGGGGGGGTGGGTGGCGTCAAAAAATTTGGCATGGGGAAGGGTTGGGTAGGGGGAAGGAGGCCCGATCCGGGTCTGCTTGTTCCAGACGCTTCTCGGCAGGAAGCCGAGGCGAATTTGCTTTACCAGATGTCTCTGGCTGGTTGGTGTACCCGTTGATGCCCAAACTTTAGATACCGTCCTTCAGATAGATGTGGCTGAGCCGAACGAAGCCCGAAAACCTGCAACTCTGGCACTTCGCAGCCACCATCCCCCCCCCCCCCCAGCTGAGGGCCCTTCGGGGGACTTGGGGCTCATGTGGATTAGGAAAGTAACCCTAAACCCTAAACCCTAAACCCTAAACCCTAAACCCTAAGCCCTAAACCCTAAACCCTAAACCCTAAACCCTAAACCCCACATCCTGGAGCCGCGGAGCCCTTTGCCCAGAAGCTGACCGAGGTTCCGACAGAGCTGCCCTCCCCCACGTTCAGCGCTCGGCATAACTGGCGGACGTTTGTGATTGAGTCTGAACCCACGGTGAGGCCCGAAGTGTCACAGTCGTTGGGCGTAGGGATTTCAATTTGGGATTTTCAGTGTTTGTTGCTTGCAGCAGGGCACTCCCTGTTTTCTTGGAGCGCGCCCTAGACCCTGAAACCCCTGCAAGCTCCCCGCAAGCTCCGCGACGCGCTCTCAACCCTGAACCTTTTGCATAGCATACAGTGTGCAGAGTGCAGTTTGGGGTAAATGTGGGGGACACAATGCAGTCAGGGGTAAGCTCGCCGTGCTTCCCGTAATCCGTGACAGGGGTTGTCAACACGCCGCGCTTCAGAATCAGGATCTAATGTTAGGAACTATGTGAGAAGAATCGCCGGATGTAGTTGAAGTCGTAAAGTAGTAAAGTAGCAAGGTAGTAAAGTAGTATAGTAAAGTAGTAAAGTAGTAAAGTAGTAAAGTAGTAAAGTAGTAAAGTAGTAAAGTAGTAAAGTAGTAAAGTAGTAAAGGAGTAAAGGAGTAAAGTAGTAAAGTAGTAAAGTAGTAAAGTAGTAAAGTAGTAAAGTAGTAAAGTAGTAAAGTAGTAAAGTAGTAAAGTAGTAAAGTAGTAAAGTAGTAAAGTAGTAAAGTAGTAAAGTAGTAAAGTAGTAAAGTTTGTAAAGTTGTAAAGTAGTAAAGTAGTAAAGTAGTAAAGTAGTAAAGTAGTAAAGTAGTAAAGTAGTAAAGTAGTAAAGTAGTAAAGTAGTAAAGCAGTAAAGTAGCAAAGTAGTAAAGTAGTAAAGTAGTAAAGTAGTAAAGTAGTAAAGTAGTAAAGTAGTAAAGTAGTAAAGTAGTGAAGTAGTGAAGTAGTGAAGTAGTAAAGTAGTAAAGTAGTAAAGTAGTAAAGTAGTAAAGTAGTAAAGTAGTAAAGTAGTAAAGTAGTAAAGTAGTCAAGTAGTAAAGTAGTAAAGTAGTCAAGTTTGTAAAGTAGTAAAGTAGTATAATAAAGCAGTAAAGTAGTAAAGCAGTAAAGTAGTAAACTATTAAAGTAGTAAAGTAGTAACGTGGTAAAGTAGTTGAGGTCTGCAATGGAGGAGGCAGATGTGTCTGGCGAGGTGGCAGCTCGGGGCCAATGCGGGGAGAAGAACTATGGTTCGGGCTTTGGGGCTTTGGGGTTGAAGGCCACGCTGAACGCAAGACGTTTGAAATGGAGTTCCTTCAAACACAATTCGGAAAGCCTAAGACCTGCAAGTCCCGCCAATGCCCCTCCCCCCCCCCCAACCAAAGCTTACCTCTTAACATTGGCAATATATGCGAAAGGCGGCGATACAAGCCCCATGCAGACAGACCCAAAAGCTGGCACGAAACCGTAAAGCAATACTGTGAACACACAGACAGCTCATCTGTGCGTGAACAAGCCCGGTACAGGAACACCATTACAAGCCCTTCCTTCAACAAAGTTGATGTCCCCCCACCTTCCTCCATGAGACGGAGCCTTTTTCTTAATTCATCATCCCAGAATGTCTTGCTATGATTTAACATTGTTCTACTGCCAGTCGGGTTGTTCATTGACACCATTTTATCACAGCAGCAATCGCAATGCTTTGAACCGTGGTGAAATAAACGTTTGAGGTAGAACGCACAATCTGAACGAATGGCATGTTGAATACCAATCCATGTCCTGAGCTGCAAAACGCAGTTGGAGTCCCGATCCAGAAGCAACCGGCAGCCTGGGCAGGAGCTCGTCACGACTGCCCCGCCTCCGACGGCCCCGACGGCACTGGTGCAGGAAGCGCTGGGGACCGAGACCCGAGATGTGAAGGAACCGTCGGGGTTCAGTGCTCTCTCGCGCGAGAGCCAGGCCAATCACTCAATTCAGGGGGCACCTGAAGATCTCGATCGCTCTATAGGTGGACAAGTAGAGTTCAGCATGAGGGTTTTAGGATTCCGGCTTGGGTTTTAGAGTAGCTGTGAGGTTTTGCTTTTGGTCTTTTGGTTGCGCTGCCAAGACGGGGCGAGTGCTCGTTGGCCTTCTTGTCGCAGGCAGAATGCTTGGGAACCAGGTTAGGGATGCTTTGACTATCATTAAGGCCGCCTCCCAGTGCGGAGAGTACTTTGAAATGCTGGTCTCTTAACCTTCGCAGACTCCAAACCTCGTGCCCGAAGTCCAGCAGAAAGCCCCGAAACTGCTTGCAGGCCGAGACTCTGCAAGCTTTCCTGCCAAGGCCCCCAGATGCAGATTTCCCACCTCCCATGCCGGAGTCCGCGATGCCGTCGCCGGAAGCTTACGAAAAGAAAGCAGGTCTCAGGGCTCTCGATCCGCGAAAGCTTCAAACACTTCACCAGACTGCTTCGGCAAGAGGAAGACCTCCGTGCAGTTTCAGGGCAAGCCCCGTGTTTCTTGTTGCTTAGATGTATGGGTACTTCACGTGGAGCGTTTCCCAGTGCAGGCAGAGAGGGAAGCTACAGCCGAAATGGACCCTGCCCACGAAAAAGAGCGGTGAGCTGCTGGCTCCTTTGTGTACAGGGCTTGCCTCCAGCCTAACGTCGACCCGAGATTTCGAGCTTTGGACTTCGCTTCCACAGCGTCTGCTTTGCTGCGCGTTGCGGGGCGGGGGGGGGCTTACATGTGAGCATTGCGCTGCATCAGAGGTCGGTCGCAGGGTCGCCTACTGCAGCGGCCTCTGCGTGCTGCTACATGGGCAGCTTCAAGATGCTTCAAGACTAGGGCAGTTTTGCATGCACTCTTTGTCATCCGAGTACCGAGCGTGGCTTCATGAGTTTGTGCTTCAGCGATCTTCGCCAAGCAGACTTGTCCAGTATCGGCATCCATGGAGACATCGGGATTTCGGGTTGAGCCCAGGAGATGCCGGTACCCGTGCAAGAAACGGACGACGAGGCGCGCATGGTCGGTTTAGGCTTTCCATAGTCTATAGGAGGCAGTGCGTAGGCTGGTAGGGGAATCAGTAGTGAACTGCAGACAAGAATAGCATCGGACTGCCAAGAGTCCGTTCAACTGATGAAGTGCTTTCTCATGTCCTGGATGGTATAGCTTTGCTTTGTGGACTGAAAGGCCGAAGCCATTAACAACAACGCACCAGCAGCTTGTTCACACGGGAGGGAACAACCAAGCAAATACCCTAGCAAAAAAGCTTCCATCTTTTGCATGGCGAGAGGTCCCAAGCGACTAGTCATGACCGCTCAACAGGTTTCCATGGCCGAGCTAGTGAAAACAAGACAGATGCATGAAACCTGTAGGCAAAGATCCTGGTTTTACGTTTCGAGGCATGGCGAGCACGTCTCAATAAGTCAAGAAGATAGTCTGGACTGTTGATCCAGCAGAAAAAAGATGTATGAGATGAAGAGTGGCAGGAACGCTTCGACGCTCACTCGCAAACTTTGACACACATGATAGATGTGAATGATGAATGAACCCAGGAGTGACTAAATTGAGGCCATAGACTTTACCACATTATGAGATTGAGATCATAGGAATAGAAATAGAAATAATAACAGTAGTAGTAATAATCATAATAGCAATAGTAAGAATAACAATAAAATTAAAGAGCTGAACCCAAAGCTCGGCCGAAGCTCCCAAAGTCTGAGCCCAAGCCCAACGCAATCCTAGGCGGCACGGGGAAGGAGGCTGGAGACCATGGGGTGGGGGGCGAATGGGGGCTTACGGGGTCAAGGGAGTCAGGGGTTTAGGGTTTAGGGTTTCGGGTTTAGGGTTTTACGGTTCGGCTTTGAACAATCTACAGGGCATGTTTGTTGCAGGTTATTGTGTTTCATGTTTAAGGTTGCATGTGATGACAAGGTGAAAAGCTAAGGCTTCCGTTGCGCATGCCAGGCTAGCGAAAGCAGAGTGCGGATCGGGAGACTGAGTAGAATGAGCGCACTCATCAGGGTTGCTGGTCTCAGTTTATGGTTTCTGGTGGATGAGTTGAGGGCACAAGGGACCCATTCTGCGGATCCGCGGCACGAGTGGTTTAGGAGCCGAGTTTCGGCTTAGGGTTTCGTGATTGAGGTTTTAGGGTTTGAGTTCAGGGCTTGAACAGCTCCACAGCCATCAATGCTAATTCCACTGACTGGCCCCCTTGCCACGTTACCGTCTTATTCTGTAGATCAACCACAAAATGCTACAGCAACACCCCAGCTCTCGAATTGTTGACCAGGCACAAGAAGCGCATCACGAGGTCGTCGCCCACGGCCTCGCCAGCAAGTATTCAATGTTTTCTGGAAGAGATGTGCATAACATTAAACGCCTATTTCGTACAGACAGCAGAGAGAGATTGCCTAGAGCGGCCACTGGCCCGACAACGCTATGGTTTGCAGTCTCTGTTTGCTTGATCTATTTCTCGTTTTGTTGGTGCTTTGTTTCCGGCTGTACTGAGTTGTTGTGTGTGTGTGGGGGGTGGGGGGGTGGCGGGGGGTGGGGAGGGGAGGGGGGCGGCAGGGGGTAAGGGGAGTTTGAGAGAAAGCAAATCTGAATGACAGAAGTATAACGCATGAAGGTGGCCTTCCGAGCTTCTGCGCCCAAAGTCCAGTTGCTTTGCCACACAACTCGAGGGGCGTTGCACAGGGTTACTTAGGGGTTAAAACCAAGTGTCGATCTTCCGAAATCGTCTGTTTCGTGGGGTTCTGGTACACCTTAGGTCCCAGGTTAGTGGCGCTAGCTGTTCAAGCGTTGCTGCAGTTACTGTTGTTTTATATTGAATCTTTCGTGATTGCAACTGAAATCTCCACGTGTCCGGCGGCTAAGTTTTGCTTCAAAGAGTGGCCGTTGCATCTTGAGCTGCACTCCTAAAAAGCCATCATTATGGACTGCACGCCGCATAGATTTTGATGATATGCTTTGACATGCTGAACGGTCCTCATGAAAAGTGCTGCCTCGGTGCTCGGATTCTCTGCTGTCCTACTAAACTTGAGTATCCTGGGCTCTTGTCTTAGTGACCGCGCCGCTAAACTTGAGGTATCCCAATTGGGCTCGGCCCCAAAAGGGGAGGGTCCTGGA